GAGTGCCCCAGGGAAGTGTATTAGGGCCCCTGTTATTAATTATGTATATTAATGACTTGCGACGTGTTTTACGATTTTGCGACATTAATCTTTTTGCAGATGATACTGTGTTATTCATTGCAGCTAAGGATTTAGATGAGGCCGTTTTACACTTGAATGAAGATTATGCGTTCTCTAAGTAGATGGCTGAAGTATAAGCAGTTGAAATTGAATACAAGTAAAACTTAATTTATGTTTATTTCGCGGAATCGAGTAAATGAGAACGTCTCTGTTGTAATTGATGATGAGACTATTGATCGCGTTCGGGAGATTAAATATCTTGGCGTGATTATTGATGACACACATAAGTTCAACTCTCACATTGACAATGCCATCAAGAAAATTGCCAAGAAGTATGGAATTCTATGTCGACTGAAAAACGATTTAAATATTGCCAGTAAAATATAGCTATACAAATCAATCATCTCTCCTCATCTTGCCTCTGGCCTTTCCACTTTATTTCTGGCCAATGCAACACAAATATCGAGATAACAGCGCTTGCAGAATAAAATAATGCGTTTGGTTTTGAGATGTAATAGATTCACTTCCTCAACTATGATGCTAGACGCCTTACAATGGTTGTCGGTGAAGCAAAGAATTGTATATTTGACTATATGGTGTTCATTTTTAAAGTAGTTAACGGTTTGCTGCCTCGATATTTGTGTGATCGAATTGAAAGAGGAAGTGACTTTCATAGATATAATACTAGAAATGCGGTTGAAATAACAACACCACATTTCTTGACTTGTGCTTCACAAAAATTCATTATATTATAAAGGAATAAATGTTTTCAATTCGATGCCTAGACATATCAAACGTTCAGCAACACTTACAGAATTTAAAGGACACTGCATTTCACACGTTAAAACTGTCGTTTGAACAGTTATCCAGTGATTTTTTATGAATTGACAAATTATGTATTTTGACGAAGTTATCTCTAACGGATTATTTTATATGGATAGCTGTCATAACGATTTTTTTAATAATTATTGTAGCACTGCAAAAACTATTTCTGTTTGCCACGATGGTGATGATGGATTTTTAATATTTGATTAATTTCGTGAACATTCCTGACATTGCATTGTTGAAAATTATGATAACATCCGATTGCGGGGTTGCTAGTGTAATAGGATGCTTTGTTGATTGTTGATTAACTCTTGAGTCTTGATTGCTTGTAATACTTATGAATATTTTTGGTGGACATAAGGCGAACTAAGAGGTGGACGCCTGAGCTTTTCCACATTTATATCGCTGTGAAGCAACTGTAAACTCTAAAGGGAATTTATATCTGTAACTGAAACCAGTTCGATTTTGTTTGCTAACCTGGTTAAAATGTCATATTTAATTATCTTAAAGATAAATCGTCCAGCTCAAACCTTTGTAGGGGTAAGAGGTGGGACCATCAGGGGTAGCCTAAAGGATAGTTCTGTTCTAAAAACTCGGCATTGAATATCAGAGGCAGTGCGCAAAACATTCAGGTTCAATGAGTCATTTTCATATGAATATGAACAGCCATCCGCCTCATCATTCACTGCCTTGTGAGAGTCTGAATGGTTGGGAAGTAAACGAGTCACTGACAGCAGAGCACTCAGTTAGTAGCTCAATCAGCACGTTCATTATTCCGTGATGGTACCCAAACCTTGTTTTGAATGACTGAGCGGAAAAAAAATATGCCTCAATTACATGCTGTGTGAACGAAGGCAAGCGGTGTACGTCACCTGTTCGTGAGTGACTGAATGTTTTTGTTGGCTCCTTCATTGCCTCGTCCTTTACCGTTTGGTACATACGGTCTGGATAGAGCAGTGAATTGAATAGAGCAGTGATTTCACACTCAGCCTAACCAGTCAATAATTTTACGCTCAGGGTACAATTTTTGAAGATTCTGGGTGAAACATCTATTAAGAGACGCAACTCTATTTACAAATTTGAAATGAAGAACCACCCTCAAACAACACAGATTAATGAAGTTGATGAAACCATCGAGGTCAATCATACTTACTAATAAGTTTCTGTGATTAAGACATATTTCCCTGATTATGAATGGAATTCCCTGAGATTTCCTGATTTTCTAGGTCCAAAAAAGAATTCCCTGATTTTCCAGTTTTTTTTTTCGGGTAGTTATTAACGATTAGTTTATTAGAAGCTGATTCAGAAACCATACAACGTTTTTGGCATTTTGTGCTGGTCTAACACTTTTCGAACATTCGCACTAGAGAATAGTAAAATTTTAGACTAAAATGAAATAAATAGTTGCAGTAGGCTTCAATTCAAGCATTAAGTTAAGCAAGAGATTTTTGTAAAATATATTCCCTTAGCTGATTTTTAGGGAGTGGCCACATAACCCGTATGGCGAAACTACCCCACTTTCCCCTATTCAGAACCCGAAAATCCAAAGCGCTTTATTGTTCGAAATATTACAAGCTGAAAAAACGTAGTTTCGAGACCGTGTTTCGGATCCAAAGATCAGCAACAATCCTATCTTCACGCTCGCCCTTTTATTTTCATTTAGCATTCAACACTAAGTTCATTGTGGTTTCACGATATCGGTACCGATGTCATGATTATTGTTTGCGCTTGCATAGTTCTAACATTTGCTCTAGCTGGTGCACACTCTTCGGCGGCTGGCTGAGCTCAACGGACCTAAAAGCGATGCGACCTTAAATGTCATAGCCAACACTACCGCTGTCCACCAGCCTCGTAACTGCAGCCCTCAATATGCACCAAAGGCAAGAAACACCGAAAACAATAGCCCCAGCATACAACAGGTAATCCATTGGCTTAAAGTTTTGCTTCGGCTTCTGCTTCTGCATCTCATTGTTGTAAAACCTATTATGCAGGCACCGTTCCACTAGATTCCTGTACCATACACGATACTCGTTGCATTCGCAGCTCAACTTTCGATTCTTGCTGGCCACTAGGGCCATCTTTTCTTCGCTGACTTTATCCGGAGTTCCTAGTTGAATGGTGTAGGTCAAGTCCATCGAGGAACGGCTACTGGTCATTACGCAAAGGGACACGTCAGCCGGTGATTGGCAGATAGTAATGCTGGTGCGGTTGATGGCCAAGATCCGTTGTGGAGCTTCAACCTCAAGCCATACCGCTTTGGCTGAGTTGTAGCAATCGAACGATGAGGACGACGCAGTTATTTTAAAACAAGGTAGGACCAATAAAGAGCACTGTGTATCATCGCTGCTGGCCCACTTGAAGAAGGACATGGAATAGCAGAGCTCGCTGTTGGATTCGTTGCTCGGACGGAACGTGGGACAAACCGTCGAAACAGTGGCCTGCATTAGATGTAAGGTGATGATTGTCATCAGCGGAAGGTCTTTCATGGTGGCCGATTGAAGATTGAACTACGAGTAAATATTTTTCACTTGGTGGTTGCTTACTTATACTATGTTTTGACCTATCCATTGAAGTTTTAGTTGTAGCATCGCAAAAGGCTAATTTAAGGTCATTTCCGATTGCCAAATAGCGGAACACTAGTCGAGTCGGAGTCGATTAGTCGTATATAAGAAGAAAAAAAAATGGGACAATCGATTCATTAAAGCGTGGGGCATTCACTAGGAAAGGAAACTTTTATCCAAAGTTGCAAATGCTCATTGCACCTACTATAAAATACTCACTCATCCTGGTGGTGTTAGTTTGCGTGGGCGTGCAATCAGTTTCGATAAATTGACGTTCGAGCCATTGTTTTCAAATGTACTATCTGTTCGAGAAATCATTAGATCGGTAAATCCACTGATTTGATAGTCCCACAAATATGTTTTATAGCAAAAAAAGTCGACGCGAAACTGGCAGGAAAATCGCTTCATGAGAGATGGGTTCTTATTGTAGCTTACTATTGATAATCCCGTCGTGATTTAAAAATAAAAATAAATCCAAAAAGTACCTATACATTAATCTTCGGTCGATAGTGTTTGACTCACCACCGGAATTGAACGGTAAAATAACAGAAACTCGGCAGGCGTAACATTCCAGTTGGGACGTCATAGCCAAAGAATAAAAAAATCAGGACTACATACCACTTAAACGCTTCCCTTTCATCATCAAAATAAAGTTATTAAACCAAAAAAGGAAAGCAAAAGTGACGCAACTGATGCACGGTGCTGTATCAAATAGCACTCGCGTTATAGTTTTCTCTCGTAATAATTCCCTCCCAACAATAATAAAAGTTGATGAAATCAACTGAGACCACAGATGAGGGCATGTGAAGCGTTGAACTAGAGTGTGTAGCTACTTAAATATGTGATGATTTTAAGTAGCTCCATCAAAAGCAACGAGTGAAAAGCTGAATAAAAAAAAACCTAAAACAGAAACAATAAATCCATTTAATGGTCATCTCTCAATTCGTGAAACAATTACCCGGCATACCGTCATCATCAGCATCATCATCATCCATCGCAATCCAGCTTAAGTAGACCGGAGAGCCCAACCGGGGTACAAATACATCTGAGCGCAAAGTGATGATGGTGGTAATTGTTTAACCAAGTTGCGCCTGCGATGATCTGGCGGTCGTCGGCGGCTTGGTTTGATTGGATGACCATCGACACAGCATCGGAGTGTTATACTTTAAATAGGAGAAGGTGAGAAACAACACACCCCAATTTAGAGACCGACGACGAAGCGAGCAGCGTTCGAGAGTGGGTATAAAAAGTGAAATCATTGGGCACCGAGAAGCCTGGTCATTCCAACCCCGTACAGGCTCATCCACCGAGCTTATGATACGTGAAGAGGAGGCAATCTCGCAATCAACGATTGGATGGTCGCAATTAGCCATTGATAGCCAAATTAGGCGAAAATAAAGCACTAAACCGACGAGCGGGGCCAATTACGTAGAATTGGAAAATTGAATCACAAATCACGTGGCGGGTGCGAGCCGAACCGAAAACGACAAATCACGACGTTTATGGGTGATTGCTAGATTCAGGACTCAAATCGATCAAAATACATCCACCTACCTTAGTGTGCAGGAAGGCCAAGCTCTTGTTGACGTTCTCGATCTTGTGGACCCGCATGCGGCCGTTGTTCGGTTTGCCCAGCTTCTCGCCCGAGATGATCTCGAGCAGCTTGAGCAGTTTGATGCCGTCGGCCAGGTCGGTGAAGAGGTCTTCGACCTCCATCTTGGCCTGGTTGGGAAAGGGAAGAAATACGCACAGAAATGGGTTGAGAATTAGTATTTATTGTTTCGGAAATTTTGAGCTAAATGTGGGTGTGTGAGCTATGGAAACGGTCTATTATATAACAAGGATGCTAAATATGGGAGGAGAGTCAAATGAGGGTGTGATTTATGCCTAGATTTTGAGCATGTAGGTCGTAAAGAGGAGGCAAAATTTGACATGCTGAGAAATTGATTACTACTTTGGAAATTCCAAAATTGAGAGGATTATAATTTGCTTATTTATATTCAGCACGAAATGATTGAGCTTAAATATTAAACAAAATCATCAAGTGTATCCCTGCAGTGAGTTGCTTATTTGAGCAAAGGTTATCCAAATTTCCCTGCGGACGAAAACACGGTCAAGTTAGGGGAAATGTACCAGTTATGAAGCTTGTGGTCCTCTAATTGGAAATGTTTACTATTCTTACAACAAAGGGTACACCAAATGTCTCGAAAAAGTTTGTTGAGCCGTTACATACTGTTCGGTTTCCTTAAATTCCGCTTGGTTTTCAGCGACCTCCATATCTCAGTATGAACGTAAATACCGTATGCGTGATAATGTTTGCACCATTGAGCAATGTCAAAATCAAAAAAATTCTCAAAAATTTCGTTTTCGAATTTTTTTCTATTTACTCAAAGTCTTAAACTATGTTAATCATCACTTGCTGCAATTACGGCCTCGACACGCTTCTGGAATGCATGGCAGGTTCTAATAATGTAGTCTGGATCCATTTCTCTCCAGGTACGGGTCAATGTTTGTCTGAGGCTTGCTGTACTCGGGTGACGTTTAGAACAGGCCTTGGCCTTCATGACGCGCCATATTGAGTAATCCAGCGGATTAAGATCGGGGCTGGATGGCGGCCACATATCCTTCGCCCAGAACGGAAGATGTTCCTGCAACCACTTCTGAGTGCGGTTCAAGGTGTAGCACGGAGCCCCATCTTGTTGAAATACAACATTTGGCTTCGGACCGTCCTGTTCTTTGATCCACGGAAGAACATACTTACTTAAAATCCCGATGTAGACCTCCGTGTTGACCTTGTCGCCTTCTGGAATGAACACCGGGTCCATTTTTTTGCCATCGGAAGCCACCAATCCAAACACCATAACGCTAGCAGGATGCTTGGTCAGATACACGTTCTTGTGCTCGTCGGTCACGTCTTTTACCGGAAGAGAACTAATATACCGGTCGGTTCTGGAATTTGATATAGACGGTAAACATGCTCTCGTCGGTGAACAGGATTACCGGATTTTTTCGCTTAAGGAAATTTAAGATTTTCTTGCATCGTTCGACTCGTAGCTCCCGGATGCGGTTGGTAATCATGTGAGTTTTTTTTTCCATGCCCTCGACTTAGCCCCGCAATCTTCCTTTACGATCTTCCGTGCCGTAAAGTCACTGATCCCGTGTTCCTTTGCCATTTTCCTTATTGAACGCACTGGATTCACCCGAATCTTCCTTTTGATAGCAGCGATAACCCTCGGAACCCGAGCTGACCACGGATGACCTGTGGCCACCTTCGCGGATAGTTGTCCTTTCTTTTCTCGGTCTAAAACCATTTAAACGGTCCTCCGGGACACTCCCACGGCGATTGAAATGTCTTTTTGCGACATTTGCGCGTGGGAAAAAATCACGAATACGCACGTAAATCATTTTCTTTTATACACAGCCTAGCCTACTACGGCATGAGCTATAGGTTACGTGCATGTAAAGAAAACCAAGGCATTTTATGCACAGGTGAAACGGGAACCTTATTTGTACGATGGTGCAAACATTATCACGCATACGGTACACTAGCCAGGAGCCGTCTCTTGCTACTGCTTGGTCCCGAGATGTTCGGTATGATTCTGGCTACCGCGTTGATGGCCTTCGCTGTCTTCTCGTAGGCGTATTCTACGTGACTATCGAAGCCAAACGGTCGTCGACCATCACTCCCAGGCATTTCAACACGCACTTCTAGTTTATTGCGTGCTCCCAGCGGTAATTTCTGACCGCTGCAGCGCTTTAAAGTTACTGATCAATGCCACTTCGCTTTTGTTGTGGGCTATCTGCAGCTTCGTCTAAAGCATGGAAGGTTTCCAATCATGTCGACAGCTTCGGTCCGCCAACATTTCCATCTATTCCAGCGCCTGTTACCGTTAGACGTCGTCGTCCGCAAAGCCAACGATCTCAACTCGTTTGGGTAGCTTCAGCGTTAGACCGCCGTTTTAAATCACGTTCCAGAGCGTTGGACCAAGGATGGAGCCTTGTGGAATTCCCACCGTGATCCTAATCGATCTCTGTCCCATATTTGTGGTTCTGGAAGTAGCGTCGGCCTCCCAGCTGGAGCTGTTGAACGCATTCTTGACGACGATCGTTATCACGGCGTAATATCGATCTCCTCTCCACTTCTGTTTCGACGCCTTCTCGGCTCCAGGGTTGCCAAAAGTAAATCTGTGTTTTTGCCCAAAAAAAAATCTTTTCATCTTAGTTGTTGTCCAGAAAATCTGTGATGATATCTGTGTTGATAATTTAAAAATTTCCTTTGAAAAGTGATTCAGCCATTTTTCTGATAGAGACAAAAAAAAGTTAAAAATATATGTATTATAAATTACTTATGGTTTGCCAAAAAAGAATACCACTGACAGTTCTCATTCTCCTTTTTATTTCCTCAAAAAAAGCATGCTTAGATATATAGGTTGGTGATGGTAAAATAAGTGAAAATAATGTTTTGTTTTTAACTCAAGTTTTATTTTTTATATGCTTGATAATATTTTAAAAATCTGTGTGGCATGTTTAAAGCACTGCCCTAATAAACAAATACCATAAACGAACTGTATGCCGGATGGGTAAACTATCCCACAAATAGTTTGGATGATACCCCGAACACGTCGTTAAGCTCTCTTTTATGGTTATTTTTATTAGGGTGTCCAGTCTGAGCAGTTATAACATGTTAGAACGGTTGTCAAATAATTGCAACATATAAATCACCATCAAGATAGCGCTATAACATGTTATAACCATAGAGGTAACTCTAAGACTAGTAGGTCCCGAAGAAACGTGCTCAACTTTTTGGCTCAGCTCTGGTACTATCTTCGGTCCCAAGCTAATCGATGCACCCCTCGAAACATAGCAGGGCTGGTAGCGAGTCACTTTTTAGTGACTTGGTCACTTTTTTCAAGCCAGTCACTAAAAAGTCTCTTTTTTAAGACCAAGTCACAAGTCAATAAAGTCACTTTTTCTTGTAATCAGTCACTATTTTCAACTTTTTCAGCGTGAATTTATTTCAAGATTGATCATTCTTTGCTTTGTGGCGTTTAATCGTCTTTCTCATCTACAGGGTGTCTATTTATTTTTCTAAATAAAATTACATGAGTTTTCTAGGTTTTTTCCAGTACTTTAACGAATAATTTAGTTTATAATAAAAAAGTAATTTTTTAAATGAGTGAAAAATATGCTTTTTATTTTGTGGATCAAAAACAACAGCAATTTCCCCAATCGTTTCAAGACATGGCAATCCGTTTTAAAGAAACAGCTTTTCAATCAAATCCATTGAATGTTGAAGTTTAACACTTACTTAATTTCTCACTTCATAAAGTTAAAAAAAAACGTACTTAATTTGAGTAAGTCCAAGCTAAACATATTTCAGAAACTTCACAGAAGAGCAGAGAATTTCAGGGAAATTTAAAGGTGTTTACGGGAATTCCATTTATTTCCGAGCAGCAGAACCGAGATCTTCAATAGAATTGAGAGCTTGAGGGAAGCTTCGAAAACATCAATACAGATTAGAAAATCAAAGGGCAGTTCAAATAATGTCAAGGAAATTGTAGAAACCTTAAAGAAGTTGCGGGAAACTCATGGAATTTCCGGAAACTTCAGCAAAGCTCCGAGAGAATTTCTGGAACGTGATAAAAATTCTATGAACTTCCGGAAAACGTGAGAGTATTTTAAGCGTGTTATATCATGAAGATTTCAAGAACTTAAAAAAACGCGAACATTTAGCTAAATTGATTAGAAAAAATCAACGAATTTCCATTAAATAAAAAAAAAATCGAGAACTTTTAGCAAGCAGTGGTATTTTCAAGAAATTCCAGAGAACTTCCAATAAATTTAGATATTTTTAGATAGTTTCATGATATTCAGCGAAGTTACAAGTACTTCAAGGACGAATCAGATAGCTTCAAAATAATCCCATTAACTTAAGCAAATTTGCAAAGACTTACAAGGAGTTCCGTTGAAGGATGGGGTATTCCATGAATTCTATGATTGATCCAAAAACGGCAGAAGCGCCAGGGAATTATGAATTGATATCAAAAAATTTGCCGGGTTATTAAACAAATTTTGAGAACTTCAGGTACCCATATATCAGTTCAGGGAAAATTAGTGAGAGTTTATAATGGTTATAATACTTAAGGAAAATTTTCGAAACTTCAATCTTTCGCTTTAAAGGTTCATATCGTACATAAGTCTACTACAGTCTACAACTATAAGTCACTATTTGGTCACTTATTTCTTCAACATGGTCACTAAAATCACTATTTTTGACAGCAGTGATCGCTACCAGCCCTGACATAGGAAAACCCACGAACCTCTAATTTTATCTGTCAAACTTTCATAGCGAATCAAAACAAACATTTAGTAGTACTAGAATTTTGACTAGAATTGGGTACGTTAATCGATTTGCTTGGGACCAATAGGCTAGTCAAGTAGTGAGCCAATTTTAAATAGTTTCCACCGGTTGTTATAACTCTGTAGTTGCTCACTCTCCGTGCATTTCGTCAACCTCCGTACGATGTAGGTGGCCAGGTCGTTGGATCGTGCTTCGAGAAAAGTCCTTCCACAAAGACTTTCGGGCACATTTCAGTGGGCATGACTTGACATCTGATCTTCGTCATCACGAAACGGTGTGCGTCGTTGGCAGCAGCGTCTCGACCCACCTCCAGTGGACAGTTTGACTTGCTCTGCTCTCTCTCGTTTATGTGCTCGGAACA